AAACTCCCAATGGACTAAACCACCAGAGTTCTCTTAGTTAATTATGAAATATCTTTTCATTTCCTTTATGGCATAGATGTTCTACGAGCCTGGAACAGTGGCTGAAAGTGTTCATGTGCTAACTTAAACACTGTCATTTCAAACTCACAAGCTACTCCATGGTAAAAAGATGTAATGTCTAAAGAAGATTATTGTTGTTGTTGTTATATACCATTGAGTAGGAACTGACCCATAGCAGATGGTCTGGTGATTTTTCAGAGACAGTTAATTACGTGGGAGGAGATTGCCCTTCTTTCTCCCACGGAGCAACTGGTGGATTCGCACCACATGCTTTCGGGATTGTAGCACAGCTTTTTGACACTCGGCTGCCAGAGCTCCTTACCTGAACATATATACAACAATTTATAATATTCTATGAAGACTAGAGCCTTGGTAACTCTATTGGATAGTTCTACTCTAACATGCAGAGTCACTGTGAATTGGAACTGGCTTGATGACAGTGGATTTGACTTGGAGATGTTCTCTCTGAACATATATTAATTGTATCATAGGATGAAATACATAGACTATTATGTATTACAAATCTACTTTTGGAATAAGCTTCTCTTTAATGTAGTCTCAATTTAATAAAACTAAAAAGTACAATTGGAAATGGTTCTTCATTTGACACTTGACCTCTTAGCCCAACAAAACAATTTATCACAATTTTCTGTTAAACATATTTATAATGTTACATATAACTTAATATACATTTACACACACACACACACACACACACACACTCTCTCTCTATTGTTGTTTTAGGAGCTTTGAATTGCCTCTGACTCAGCAGGAGTGGCATCCATATCCTAAACAACATGCCTCTGAAAACTCTATGAATTTGGAGAAATGACAATAAATACAGAAAGGCTTCAGGTCTTTTGTTCATAGGGTTGCTGTGACTTGACAGCAAACAACAACTTTGCATCCTATGTACAGCACATCCTGTCTCTTCCTCTCTCTGCCATGTACAAGTCCACTGATGCAGTCACCATGTCCACCTGTCTCTGAGGATCTTTTTTCCTGTATTGACCCTTCTCCACATTTCCAAGCATGATACCCTTTTCCAAGACTAATTCCTCTTCATGACATGCCCAAAAGTGTAAAGAGAAGTCTTATAATCTCTGCTTCCAAGATAAGTTTGTTTGTTTGTTTTCTTGACAGTCCAAGTCATACATTCTGCAGCTCCATAATTCAGACATAATTCTTTGGGTTTCTTTAATCATTGCTCAACTTTCATATGCATATGAAGCAATTGAGAATGACCTTGGATTGAGTCAGACACCCTTAGTCTTGAAACTGACAATCATGGTCTTTCACATTTTAAAGAGCTCCTTGGCAGCAAATTCACCCAGTGTAACACATATATTGATTTATTGACTACTGTTTCCATATAGGTCAATTGTTAACCCATGTAAATGAAATCTTTGACAATTTTATCTCCATATATCATGGTTTCGTTGTGAGGATTTTCTTTTCTTTTTTATTAAGGTGTAATCTTTACTAAGGTTCAACCCGTATGCAGAACAGATTATCCAGGAGGCTGGGCTCAATGAGGAGAAGTGTGGGGTCAAGATTTGTGGAAGATCTATCAACAATCTGCATTATGTAGATGACACAACCCTGCTTGCTCAAACTGAGGAGGACCTGAAGCGCTTGCTGCAGAGAGTCAAGGACTGCAGCCTTTGGTATTAATTGAGGTTCAATATCAAGAAGACAAAGATTCTCACTAGTGGACCAATTGGCAGCATCAGGATGGATGGTGAAGAGATTGAGATTGTTCACAGCTTTATTTTGCTTGGCTCCACAGTCAAAACTCTCAGCACCAGTAGCCAGGAAATTAAAAGACGTATTGTGATGGGAAAGTCTGCTGTTATGGACCTCTCCAAAGTCCTGAAGAGCAATGGTGTCTCTCTGGAGACTAAGGTGCGTCTGATACAGGCTATGGTCTTTGCTATCACTTGTTATGCATCAGAGAGTTGGACAGTGACTAAGGAGAATAGAAGGAGAATTGATGCATTTGAGCTGTGGTGCTGGAGAAGAGTATTGAGGGTACCATGGACTGCTAGGAAAACGAACAGATTCATCCTGGAAAGGGTTAAACCAGGCTGCTCCTTGGAGGCAAGGATTCTGAGGCTCCGTCTAACATACTTTGGACATGTTGTAAGGAGAGACCAGTCATTGGAGAGGGACATCATGCTTGGGCGGGTGGAGGGACAGTGCAGGAGGGGAAGGCCCTCTATGAGGAGGATTGATTCAGTGACTGGGGTAATTGGGATGGTTGTGTCCGAGACAGTGCGATTGGCACAGGACAGAGCAGAGCTTAGGGCTGTTGTACATAGGGTCGCTATTGGTTGCAAGCGACTCGATGGCACCTAACAACAACAATCTTTACTAGGGCCTTGTGTTTCTTGAGTAAATGCTTCAAGTCCTTTTCACTTTCAGTTTTTAAGGAATATTGGTACTATGAAGAGTTCTGGTGGTTTGTTGTTGTTATGGGCCATTGAGGTGCCTATGACTCATAGTTACCCAATGCACAATAGCTCTGAATACTCTCATATCCTGAGCCATTCCCACTGTCAACACATTTAACTGCATTACTCCAGTTACTATGTCATTCCATCTCCTTTAGGGTTTTCTTCTCTTGTGCTGTACAACCATCTTTCCAAACATGATGTCCAGCTCTCTCATATGTAGCAAGTCATTGCAAAGACCATAGCCTGGGTCAGGTGCTCCTTCGTCTGTAGACTCACATCATTACTCTTTAGCACTTCTGGAAAGGTCCTTGACAGAAGATAGTCTTTTAATTTCATGATTGTTGGTGCCAAGAATGCTTATTGTGGAACCAAGCAAGGTGAAATTATTAACAATCTTAATTTCCTCTTCTGCCAGTTGGCCCTGTGGTGAGAATCTTTGTTTTCTTTATGTTGAGCTTCAGTCCATATTGAAGACTGCAGTTCTTGACCTTCTGCAGGCTCTCCTCAGTTTCAGCAAGCAAGGTTGTGTCATCTGCATAACGTAGGTTGTTGATGAGTCTTCACCCAATCTTGATACCACATTCCTCCTCATAAAGTCTAGCCTCCCAAATGATCAGTACCACATATTAATTTGGAAGATATGGATATAGGACGCATCCCAGACTCACTCCTTTCCCCATTTTGAATCATGCAGTGTTTCTTTGCTCTGTTCTGATGACTTCTTCCTCGTCCAAGTATAGGTTTCACATGAGTACAGTCAAGTGGTCTGGGATTTCCAGTCTTCTCAAGGTTAGCCACAATTTATTGTGATCCATGCAGTCAAATGCCTTTGTATAATCAATGAAATACAGATAAACATTCTTCTGGTACTCTCTGCTTTCAGTTAAGATCTATTTGTAGCACATTTGGTTAGAATGTTTGGCTGCTAAATGAAAGGTTGGTGATTCGTGCCCACCTAGGGATGAGAGTGATCTAGTGGTTTAGTGGTAAGAAATTGTGCTACCCACCAGAAGACAAGGGGATTGAATCCATAGGTTCTGACTCAAAGGTGAATAACAAACATATTATTAGGCAAAATAAAATGAAAATATAAGCACACAACCTATATAGTTCACACTGCTAATTTTCTAGATCTTCATCCATCCACCAGTCACAAAAACATTCACAATCACATTGAAACTTTTAAATAGAATATTAGCCTAGAGCAACAAGCCCCAGGAAACTGGTAATGAAAATAATGGTTTATAAAAGAAAGCTTGACAGATTAATTATCATGTCACGTTGTCTGTCTCCCAGCTCTTTTTAAAAAACAGCTCTTTAATCTGTGTACATAGTTTTTAATTTTGCTTCATTTGGGTTCTTTTTGAGACTTTCAGTGGTTTAAAGAAAATAAATTAGACAAATATTCTGATACCAGCTGAAAAAGTAGAAGTAAAATTTCATAAGAAACTTTAATGTCCTTTTTCCGCAACATAAAATGTTGGTTGTTGGAATATCTTTAAATTCAGTAGTAGATAGTAAATTTTAAACCACAGCTTAACAGTGTATTCTCCATTACTGCCAGTTATTTTCTACTGGCCATGTAGAATGTTTGATTTTAGCTGTGTACACAGTATTATGTAAATTGTGATTTACTAGCCAATCTAAAGTACTACTAAACTCTAGTGACCTTTTAAATAAACTATATTTAAATTGGAATGGATTCAGTGACACTTAACAGTATAAATCGTTTATTTCTGCAAAGTAGACTGGAAACTGGACAACATTGACTACACTCTGTAAGGAACTAATAACATGTTAAATACAATTTTGTTGTTGTTGTTGTTATGTGCCATCGAGTCGTTTCCGACTCATAGCGACCCTATGCACAACAGCTCTAAACCCTGCTCTACCCTGCACCAACCGCACCGCCTCTGACACACCCATCCCGATTACCCCAGTCACCGAATCAATACATAACTTTTTAATTATACTTATTTTGAATAAATGCAAACTTAACTGGTTTCAAATAAGCATGATTTTCACATGTGAAAATGAGATTCTCTAGGCTGAAGAGACCACATATGGTAAGCCTAGGATTCAGAAAGTGCTTTTAAGATTCTCAAATAAAGACAGACCTTCTTTGAAGACACACAGAGATATTAATTTTTAATTTGTTTCTTTTTTTATCTCTTAATTACCGAAAAAGATTTATTGGTTAATTTTAGGAAAGCAAGTGTTTGAAAAGTTTTGGCAAGTACTGTCTTCTTTAAATGACTGTATGGTAATGAAAAGTTCAGAGGAGAGCCAAATTAGATTGAATAATTGTTCAGTCATGTGGGTCAGGCTAGTTGCACAGCCTGGTTGTTAGACTGATTGCTCAAATTACATTGCCTCAGGACCTGCACTTGGTTGGCTGTCTTCTCAGACCTTAACAAGGTTCTGGGAATTTCGTTTTCTGACAAAGTTTGCTTTGTGTTTTTCCCCTCCCCCCACCACTTCCAGGATGCTTCATCTGCAGACATCAGAAAAGCATATCGTAAGCTTTCTCTAACTTTACATCCTGACAAGAATAAAGATGAAAATGCAGAAACTCAATTTAGACAAGTAAGTGAAATACGCTGCTATATTATATATGCATCTTGTGACAAATGCTTAACTAAATATTTTTATGGTAGAAATAAGTATAATATTTCTATTTGAAAATGAGGTAATAGTTTAAAAGTATAATATATATTTTCATTCAGTTTCCTATTAAATAACCTTTTATTAGCTTTTTAAAAATTAGAATGTTATATAGAGTTTTGTGTTTGTATGTTTTAGTACCATCATTGTACCTATTAGTAATTTCTTATATTTGAGAGTATTTTTATTTTAAAGTAATGCTTCTATTTTAGTTGGTGGCCATTTATGAAGTTTTGAAAGATGATGAGCGGAGGCAGAGGTAAGTGTTCATTTCTACTTCTGAACTAAATTTACAGTTTGATGCATCAGTTTTTAAAAGAAAAATTAAGTCTTATTAATATATAGGATTTATGTTTGTTACTTTCAAATATAATATTTAAAAACCTATTTAGTTTATGTTAGAAATATTAACTAGGTTGATTCAATATTTATGGGCTTTAAGATCATGAGTCATAAAGCTAGCAAGTCAAGGCTTCAGTACTTAAGATTTTTAACCTGAGTTAAAATGCCTTGTGAAATACAACTATAACTTGACTTCAGACAAATGTCTATTCATTTTTAATATACTAGTGAAAACTTTTACCTGGTTTGAGTTGTGATGGGTTGTTTTGTTGTTGTTTTTCTTATTCTTTATGTTTTGGAATTAGATACCTAATTATATTCAAGTTAGTGCCTCTTCTTTACTGCCTCACTCTCAACATAATAAACCAGTTTGAGAGCAGGAGAACTGTTTGACACGTAGAAATTTTTTGAAAATAGGAATGAAAAATTCTTATTTGCTTCTTTCTCTTATTTCTTTTGCTTCTTTCTCCACCTTACTATACACCAGTAATAATTCATTTATAACTAAATTTTAAATTAGAGGCAGCTCCCACACTTTGAGACTTCTCTGTGCGCCTTTCAGAAGAGTAATAATACATTGTTGTAATGGTTTATAATGCCAATGACAAGAAAAGACTGCAGAGTATCACCTTTACTCTATTCAGAGGCATATGGGGATTATAGACACTGTTGCAGAGGACTATGATTCACATCCATAGTAAGCAATACATTTTGCATCATACCTCAGGATACATAAAATACACATACAATTGAAAAAATGTTGTACAGAACTGTTATGGTGTAAGTGAAGTTGACTGATGTTTTCTATTTTATACTAGTCCAATCAATATTTTAATTTTTTTACTGATTTTTTTAACAGTGGTAGTTGTGATCCACTGGAATTATTTCATGAGAATTTAGTGAATTCTCATTTGCAGTAAAAGAATGTAGTTGTTGTTGTTGTTATGTGCTGTTGAGTGATAAAAGAAGGTAAAAGAATACTTTAAAAAATTAGTGAATTGTGATTTTTTGGCCAGAAACTACCTAAAATTCTATGTCTGTCTGTAGGGGCTAGAGTATTTTAAAAACCACAACCCTACCTCCACCCTCCTTGGTTCTTATTTAACTTTTAATTTGAGTATCTTGGTTTGTCAAATTGTAAAGCAAGATTCAAGGTATTTTCTTGAAATGTTCTTTTGTTATAACAAGGGCTGGCATTGGTCCAGATACCATAGCAAACATTCTTCTGGTTGGAGATAATCCATAGTGTTGAAAGAGTCCTCCAAGAATATTGAAAGAAGCTGGTCATTTTGTGCTTATTTTCTAGTTGATTTATCCCAGTGAGCCCCTAATTTTGTTTCACAAATCAAGAATGTGTCTGTAAAGATAGCTTTATTTAATCTTCCAACATCTTTGGCATCAGATTTTGTACTTTTGTTTTGAAAGTCAATAAACTTTGTAATAATTTATTTCATTAGTTTCTTTTTATTACTAAATTAATTTCATATGTGTATGTTTGTATCTTCATTAGCATAGACTCATCTGACATATTTTAGAATTAGTTTTCTTTAGCATTTATCTTTGAAAGTTGGTAGGGAAAAAGTGGATCTGACAGTTAAGCAAACAGCTGTAGTATTTATACCCTTTGGGCACAAGTAACTCATTGGAACTGGTTTTCCTTGAGGCAAAAGTCTTAACTAATCAAGCTGAGAATCACTTTTCTAAAGCAGTTGCCTGAGGCTAGGTGACCTCTGAGTATTTTAACATATAGGAAAACTCACTTTTGCAGACAATTGCTTGTTGTTTATAATTCCTTTAAAGGGAGGGAGGAAAAAGAACCTAAAGTCAATTTTCTCAAGAAGACCATCTATCTAACTGTGATATCAAGAAACATAACTTACAAAATGGTTCTTGATATCATAATTATTATAAATATTCATTAAGTAAATTATTTTAAATGTGCAACCTTCTAATGATCTACAATTTAGAGAAATATCAAAGGGACCTGTTTTCCTATTATTTTTCTCTTACTGTATTTTTAGTGAAATCAGATGCATCCTGAAAAAGGAATAGCAATGAGATAGATAAGACATTAAACTGGATAACAAACAAAAAGCTAGTATCTTTTTTCATATTATAAAAGTCACTCATTTAAAACCTTCCCAATCTGATGCTCCATTTTATTTAGGAAAAATCTTTTCTCTGATTCCCCAGCCCTAGATAAATTACTGATTTTCTGTTACTACAATTTTCTTATCTGAACATTTCTCATAAATGTGGTTATCCTTTGAATTGGATTTTCTTTCTTTTTGTTTTATGTCTTAAGACTTATACACGTTTTCGTTTATACCAAAATCTGGAAAGGTGGAGTGGGTATTATTGCTGTGCTCCAATTCCAAAGGCATGCTGTTCAAATCCACCAGCTGCTTCAGGAGAGAAGTATGGTCCTCCCGTGTGATTAAGTGCCTTTTGAAAACCTGCTGGAGAGTCAGCTATGAGTCATGCCGACTAGATGGCACACAACAACCACCACCCTCTGGTGGCCCTAAGGCACTTGCCGCTCCAGAGGAGAAATGTGGCCAGTCTCTTTCCATTCAATTTACGGCCTCTGAAAACCCACTAGAAGGTCAACTCTGAGTCTATTCAAACTCCACAGCATGAATGAGTGCATATTCAGTTGTGTGGATACACTGCTTTTTGTTTGTCCATTTACCTGTTGATGGATATTTGAGTTGCTCTTACTTTTTGATGATGGTGATTTGAATATTCACATATAATTCTTTGTGTGGAATATATGTTTCGGTTTCAAGTAGTTACCTCCTAGGAGTGCAATTATTACTAAACTTTTGAACTTCTTCCTACTCTCCTAAGTCATGCATATTTTCATGGGTGGTATAAGGAAGGCTAGAATACTAGCTTTTTCTAAACTCTTGAATTAACTTGCTTGTTTTGGGAACAGCAGCTCATCTTTGTTCTGACATAAACTTTTATATAGGTACCCTGAATGTTATTCAAAGTACAGAGAAAATACAAATCATTACAGGTATACCGTACATTGTGATTTATTAGTAGTAGCATATTAGCTTTTATTTAAAATATACCCATTATAAATATATAATCAGCTTTTCTTTGATGTGTAGCTTTAAACTTGATCAGTTTTTATGTTACTTCATTTGTAAATGTTGAAAGTATCAGTTTACTAAAAATCATGTTTTTTTACTAGTGTAAATTTATTTTAGCCTTTATCTGTTAAACTTTTAAAAGATTCTTTAAATTTTATTACAGATGTGTTTGATTAAAAATAAGTATTAACATGAGAATAAATCCATTCTAGCATCTTTTCTTCCCTCAGTAATGTATATAATAAGCTATTATATACAAAGTAAAAAATGCTCTGAACCACAATTTTTGACAGAGATATGAATTGACCTAAGCTTGTTTTCTACTTACTGTACAATTACTTTTTACTCTGAAGTTAAAAATATGACCTAAATAGAGATTGAGTTGTTATTATTGTTATAAACTAAAAAAGCTTTGCATGGTTGAAAATATGCAACATAGATAAATGTTAGAATGATTTCAGCATTTATTTTCATAAGACATATTCTGATTTAGTTAGTTAATATTTTTCAAATTTTGCTCCTGTTATGTTTCTATAATGTTTTTCTTCTGGTCTGTAAAATGTTATTTGTTTTCCAGTTTCTATTGACCTGATGTATTTGGTGAATTATAAACTATAGTATGGAACTTATTAATGATTATAATGCTTTATGTTCATACGGTGTCTTTGAAAGAAAATGAAGTCATCATACAATGTGTTGAATGTGTAGATAAATGAATATTTTAATTTTTATAATATTGTGCTTATAGACCTATGATTTTTTATTAGTTATTCTTTTATTACATATGCATATTTTTTACACATTTCTATGCATTCATTTTTAATTTTATTTTAATAAGTGGTTAAGAACAAATTACATTATTTAGTTACAGAACAAGTTTACAGTGTTGTATTTAAATACGGGAAAATAATAGTAGAGTGATGTTTTAAATTTTATCATTACATTTTGTAATTTATGAAAAACCTATTTGTCTATTTAAATTTTTTTTCCATTATACTTCAGGAAAGCAATAATTTGTCTACTCGTAGTGTATATTCTGAGTAGGCTGTATTAAAACTATCTTTCCTTAAAATGGCCAGTTGTGTGAACTACAGTGTTCATTGATAGTAAAATCAATTTGAGCATTGATTCTAAATGGAATCTTTAGAGACTGTTATTTAGAGTGCCAGACATAACTTAGTAAATATCAAGTTCTATTTAATATGTTCAGTGCATGAAGTTTTCTGTCTTGAATTTGGTTGTGTGCTAAATACAGTTTGTATTTGTGTTAGAAAATAGTTATTAATAGACATAAACCATTTTCAGCAATGATGATAAAATATTTGATATGAAATTCTTAACTGAGTTGAGGTGTATTTTCTTCCAAAAAAATTTAATGTTCATTTAATGCTTACTAATGCTATTATTGTTTCTACTTTAAGTTCCTTCCTTTTTTAATAACTATACCTTTCACAATAAATTATTTTGTAGGAGAGATTTACTAGGAATAATGTTTTTCAGTTCACCTTTTTCCCCCTCTCATAAACAATTTGGAAGTAGAATATGAATTTAAAATAAATTTAAGACTTAATGCTTATTAGACTTTATTTATATATTGCAATTTTGTATTATACCACTTGAAATCTTTTGCCAACCCATTTTTAATTTAAAATTAATCAAATTTTGCAAGATATATGTAAACATAATATTTTGAAGACAGGAATGATTATTTTGATACAATCATTATTATATATTTGTATTAAGAATGACCATAAATATTAGCAAAGGGAATATTTAATATCATATTTAATGATAAATATTTAATAATTACTATCTGGCTCATCTGTTTCATAATCATATTTTAATTTTTAGACTTGTGAACATTTCACCATTTACCTTTCACAATTGTAGTACAAGTTAATATCTTTTACTATAAACATTGCTTATTATAATCTGATATCATTGTTAATAACTTAAGGAGATGTAAAGGTCACATTTCCTAGATTTGCTAATGAAGTAAATTTTGTATTTATAACCAGTTTTTATTTAAAAAAGTTCCCTGTAATAAACCCCCTCCTTTATTTTTTAGCATATCTCTAAGGTATCAATTTAATAACTATCAAAGTAGCTACTGCAGTTGTTGCATTTAAATTGATTTACATGTCAAGACTGGCAGTTTAGCAGCTGCGCTATTATTCCTAGATCGGTCAATTTACTTGAGAAAAACCTACTACTGAGTTCTACTGACCTGCCTGACAATATAGGCCCTATTTCTATTCCTGTAATTAGGCCTGCAACTAACTCAGAATATTTTTAATTAAAATATTTTGGTCAATGTGTTGCACCAAATTAGGCCTTTCAGTGCAGATTTAATTCTAGAAATAGTGTGATTAGAATATTTAATGAGTTGTGTTCAATTAAGATTAACAGGTTGTGTGTGCTGAACATCTAGTATTTGTGTGACCATTTTTAATTTTACCTCATAAATGTCGCTCCTTATTTTTAACTTTAGAATTATTTGCCTCAGTAATTGTGTGGCAGATACATTTTTTTTCAGTTGAGTTCTTAAAAAGTTGTTTTTTTAAAAAAATAAAATAATTATTGTAGCCTAGTAATAGCGTGAAAGCTGCTAAAATGCATTACTAGGAATGCATATACTCTTTCAAAAAACCTAAATATAGGGAATTTCCATTTAAATGTTTACAAATAAACACTATTACTGAATAATCTGGCATGAAATTTGTTGTTTCCATTTCTCTAATTTTCTAAGTTGTTTCCTAAAGGAATGTGAACAGTACAAAATTAAAAGGTTCTGATTTTATAAGCTTTTATTTCATTAAGAAGCTTTTATAAAATAATAAGATATATAAATAAACCAACATTGAACCATATTATGGGGACAGAAATAAAAGCTCTATTTAGAAAATTTATCCTACATTTGTGAATCAATTAATGTGTATAATTCATGTAACAAATGAAACTCCTATCTTGATCACCCCCCTCCACTGATGTCCTTCCTTTTGTTGCTGCTGATTTCTATAGTGGAGGGCTGTGATAGGCAAAATATATGACTCTTTTAGTTTAAATGTCATTTGAGGAGTTCACCTTATTAAGGTTTTGCAGAAACACAAAATCTGGTATTAACAGTGTATTTGAAGGTAATCTATCTCTGGAAATACACATAATGTTTTCAATTTACCAGACATTAAAATCAGATACAAGCTACATAAATGCTAAATGGTTTTTGAGGAATACTTCTCTCTTTTTAAATATAAAACAAGTAACTTTTTTGTTGTTGAAAACTTCTTAAGAAAAACTCTTACATTTACCACTATAGGTACGATGATATCCTGATCAATGGACTTCCAGATTGGCGACAGCCTGTATTCTACTATAGGCGGGTGAGAAAAATGAGCAATGCTGAGCTGGCATTACTCTTGTTCATTATTCTCACCGTGGGTCATTATGCAGTGGTTTGGTCAATCTACTTGGAAAAACAACTGGTAAGTATTGGTAATAAATCAAATGATCTACTGTTCTTAATTTTATATGAAATTTCAGACATTCCTTTTTCAACCTATAAATTCTGCAATATATCTCAATGTACTCCTCTTTCTAATAAGTTACAGTCAACATTCAGTCTTTGACACATAGGCAGTCCACAGATTATATATGTTTGAATTTTGGACAGCTCAGATTTGCCCTTTAATGTTACATAAAGTTGCCTTCCCCTTGAAATCACCCCTACTCACAGTAAATTCTTCATCACCTTCACTTGCTGCACGTGCAACTTTTAAATCAAGCTTTTTAATGCACTAAAGTAAAACTACGTCAGGACTAAATGCAGCTGCTCTAACTTACCTACAAATTTGACTTAAAGATTTACTTAGACTTGAAGGCATGCTTAGAAATTTATCTCATTAGTAACCTGGGTATAATCTGTGTATTTCTAAGTAAAATAGAACCTATGAAATAAAAGGGGAAAGCACCATTTTGCATATGTTACAAAACTTTGTGAAGACTCACATATTTAGCTGAAAATTAGAAGTCATGTTTCCTAAATTTTTACCTTTTGATAGGAGTTTTTTTCTTAAAATGTAAGAATGATTTAAGAAATTTTTGTTCATAGGTCCATATATGATAGTTTACTTCCCCCCCTTCTAACATTTTTACTGGTTTGCAAACAGTAATTCATATATATTGTGTTTTCTTCTTGTCCATTGTGTACTATCCAATCCTTCATCTATATTTTGTTTCATACTTTCATATACATTGTATTTTTATGTACTTAATTACCATTTATCTATGCCTACCATTACCCCATCCCTTCAAGTCTCTACTGAATCCTGCTACTGCTTTACTTTCTCCCTTTCCTACCAACCTCTGCTAATCCAGTTTTATTTTAAAATGTCAAACATCAGTTAGAATGTTTTATACTTTTTTATACTTTCTGTATTCCAATATACCACTTTTTAGTTTATTATGATATGTATTATTATTATATGTGTTAAAGATAATCAGACATTTATCCATATTCGTGAATTAGCATCTGTTTACTCTTTCTTTTGAAGTGACATTATTAAAGTTAAATGAATGAGAAAAAGTAAGTTGAATGCTTTCTCAACTTAGAAAACTTTGATTGCTGTGGAGATAGACATGACTGGCAGTGCTGAACTTCACGTGTGTTTAAGGACTGGATACCATGGCAACAGTTTTTGTTAAAGATTGATGATATTACTTAATCTTGCTGGACCTTACATATATTTGCATAAATGTTCCTCTATAATGTTTATTCTTCACGGAAGAGTCATGATAGCATTTGAAGAGTACATGTTAGTGATAACCTGTAACCATAAATTTTTCTACATTAAGGATGAGCTACTTAGCAGAAAAAAGAAAGAAAAGAAAAAAAAGACAGGCAGCAAGAATGTGGAAACATCGAAACTCAGTGCTGCAGACAAAAATGAAAGGTAGGAGGAGTACATAGAAAATTTTTTTCTCCCCATATCTTTGCTTTTCATCTGTCCAGGATTGAGTATATCTGTATGTAAACTGTTTCTTAGGTTTTTTAAAATATCCGTCTCATTACCACAGTTGCTCTTTTGTAATGGGTATATGCCACTTTGCATAATTTATTGTAGTTTAATTCATGTGTAGAATTTAATTTCAAGATAGGAGCCATATTTTATTAATTTTTACCTTTCAATGGGATTCCCCCCCCCCCCCGAGTATTGGAGTTACTGTGATGCTGAACACTATGCAATAGTTATGTCAAATACCATAATGGTTACCCATCATGGACAGTGTTTTGGAGGAGCTTCCAGATTAATTCAGGTTTGGAAGCAGGAGTGGCATCCACTTCCTAAACCACATACCTCTGGAAAGTCTGTGTACACAGAGAAATTATGTTAGTTATAAAACAGGGTTCAGGTCTTTTGTTTGTAGGATCACTATGAGTCATATTCAACTTGATGGCGCTTAATCACTGCTAAGTGAAACTAGTGTTTTTATATTTTGGAGGAACATATCTTGTAAGTTTTACATCAGTCTTCTGCCAATTTGCTGTACTGAGGTAATCTGGGTTTGCTGTGATGCTGAATCATGTACTATTGGGGTATCAAATGCCATTAATGGTTGCCCAAGGTGAACAGTGTTTGGTGGAACTCCCAGTTTAAGACAGGTTTGGAAGCAGGAGTGACATCCACTTCCTACACCACATGCCTATGGAAAGTCTATGAACTTGGAGAGACTATGATAGTTATAGAAAGGCATCAGATCTTTTGTTCATAGAGTCACTACAAGTAATGCTCAGCTCAGCAGCAATCAACAACAACATTCAAACTTCAGACATTCCTTTTGTAACGTATAAATTCTGCAAAGTGTCTGGCTTGTAAATATTATATGTACGTGTGTGTTTTGTGTAGGTATCTATACATATATGTATATTAAAATTTGAAATGGTTTTAAAATATATCTTGCTGTGATTTAATGTCACAAGTGTATTTATTTTAGATACACTAGCATTTACACCTTAATTAGGTTTAAAAATACAAATAATTTGCCGTAGTGTGAACCAAAATGATCTTAAGCAAAATTATAATTTTATCATAGTATTTATTTAAATAATATAAATCTCATATTCTTGGTGTTGGAAATTATTATTATGAACTTTAAAAAGTGTTAGTAGAAGAACTTGTCAATTTTGTGTTTAACTCAAAAGTTACAAAAGGTAAAGAAGCAATGGTATGCACTTCAAAATACAGTGGCATTTCTTATCTTAATTCATAGAAAGAAATAAAAGCAGAGCACAAACTGGATCAATGTGAAATAGAGATCAGAGATTATTCCAGTGACATCAGTGAACAATACGTCAATGAAGTACAAATGACACTCATTTTTATATATTAGTTTGTTTATGCTACTGTCCTCAAATCTGATCATCTTTTATAACTGAAATAATCCCAAGATTTTAAGAAATTACTTTTAGAGAAGTGATGTCCAAGTTAGGCTAGAAAGCATTTTTTTTAAATTTTTAGGATGTTTATAATTTGCCTGTTAACTTCTTTTTCCTAAGAGCCTTACCCTACATTTGTACACTTGCTCTGTATTTATAGTGGGTAAAGGAGCTCTGCCAGTTGAAAGGCATGTAGTTCAAACCTCCCAGCTGCTATGAGTAAGAAAGATGGACGTCTCGTCCTGTGCAATTACAGTTTCTAAAAACCTTCTGGAGAGACAGCTATGAGTTGGTTTGAATTTGAGTTTTTTTAAATAGCAGATTATAACTATCAATATTTCACTAATTTTTGTTGAAATAGGAATCAGAAAAAAGTAATTCATTATCTTTATAAATATAATTTATCTTCCCATTTTCTCTCTGTATTTTGCTGTTTTAAAGTTTCTGTAATTTTTTTCCCCTTTAGATTGCTGACAAAACCACAGTGGCATGACTTGCTGCCATGTAAACTAGGAATTTGGTTCTGTCTTACACTAAAAGCATTGCCTCATCTAATCCAGGTAAAATATACCTCTTCAATATAATATTGCCTTTATTTGAATTATCCATGAAGTAATTTGTGCCTAGTATCTTCTGTGTAAATGTTGTCATAGTAGATGCTTCATACTGTTGATTGAATTGAATTGTATCTAAGTGTAAATCTGATTTTAAGTATTTTAAAAATTGTTTAGGTATCAATGCTTATGATAGTATGATAGTACATGTTTCTCTGTCATTGATATTAAGTTGGAACTGATTCATGGCTAACCATCTGTTAGGTTTTGGAGATTATAAATCACTCAGGAGGAGGTTGCCCATCTTTCTCCTAAAGATCTGTGGATAAATTGAAATTGATAGAGCACTGGAGTTTCTAGGTTAGCATCACAGCTCCCACAGACTAGGCTACAGAGCTCCTGTTATTGTTATGTGCTGTCAAGTTGGATCCGACCTGTAAATGACCCTCCAGTGGGTTTTCAGAGACAATAAATCATGTGGGAGGAGTTTACACATTTTCTTCTAGGAGATTGCCAGTCTTTTTCTCATGGAGCAGCTGATGGATTCAAACTGTGTGCCTTTGGGCTGGCCATGCAGCTCTTTACCAGTAGACCACCAGAGCTCCTTGTTGTTATTTGCCATCAGTTGAACTATGACTAATAGTGACCCTGTGAACAACAGATCTGAACTTTGCCCTCTCCTGCATGTCCTCCCAATCTCTGATATGCTGGAGCCCATTGTTATAGTCATTGTATTAATCTATCTTGTTAAGGGTCTTCCTCTCTTTCTCTGACCTCCCACCTCTCCCAGCATGATGTAGAACACCTTAAAAGTCTTAAGACACTGGAAAAGGAAAAACAATACTAAATTTAAGACAGACAAGAAAAGTAATAAAACTTTAATCTGTTAACATTTAAAAAGTATCCTGAGAAAAGAACTAGTCTCAAGTAGCTTATCTCTCATTTAAATAGCATTTAAATATATTGTATAAAAAACTTCACATTATCTGTTCATTTATTCAGAATTAAATGTTGCTTTTTACTTGCAAATTACAGTCTTCATTTTTGCCTTATAATGGTAGAGTTTCTATTTCTAATTAGTCTTCAGGATCAAACAACGAAATGTGGGTACGTCATTATATGGGAAACCTTTCTGTTTTATATACATTCAGTATATAAAAGCATAAATGGTTTGATCATTTTAATTATTATATCTAGTTACAAAATTCTTAAGCATATATAAAAGTATTTTTTGTACAAAATTTGAATTTCTTAGAGATTGTAATTTTGGGGTAGAGGAGGAATTAGCTTGTTTCAGAAGGTAAATAAATACTTTTAAATTTGGTAGCCAGATAATTTTTGTCTCGTCCACGACTTTTATATTTGTGTATCAGAGTAGTTATTTCTAATTATTTATGGAAGTGAATAATTTCACTTCTGCATGTTGTTTTCCTTATTTTCTTCCATGATAAATTTGAAGGGGGGAAATGAACTAAGTATAATAGTGTGCTTCTTTTTTGACCTTCAGGAAATTATTTGATAGTTATTGCTTACAGACTTCTTTTTTAAAAATTCTTTTTATTTTATATTGGTCTGCATACCAAGTTCATATACATTGTTTCACACTTCTCATCATTCACATTGTGTTTCATATAATCTTTCCCATTGTTGTTGTTGTTGTTTATTGCTATCAAGTCAAGCACAACTCATAGCAACTCTCAGAGGTCCGAAGCCTTTCTATAATTATCATCGTTTCTCCAAATTTATAGAGTTTTCAGAGGCTTGTAGTTTAGGAAGTGGATGCCACTCCTGCTTCCAAACCTGTCTTAAACTGGGAGCTCCATCAAACACTGCCCAGCAGGGGCAGCCATTATGGCATTTGACCCCTATTGGCCCAAGGTTCAGCATCACAGCAAACCCAGATTATTTAAGTGCAGCAAATTGACAGAGGAGTACTGTACAATTTAGAAGAATGTTCCTCCAAAATAAAATTACACTAGATCCTTGGGCCCAACCGACTTTTAAATATAAGGAATCTATATGGCCTTCTGTAACTATCGTTGTTTCTCCAAGTTCATAGAGTTTCCAGAGGCATGTGGTTTAGGAAGTGGATAACAATCCTACTCCCAAAGTTGAACCAATCCTGAAACAATCTCGGAGCTCCACCAAACATTGCCCATGATGGATAGCCATTATGATACTTGGCACACCTGTGGCACAGTTGTTCCATTATGGCATTTGAAATCCAAATGGCACAAGATTCAGTGTCACAGCAAACCCAGATTACCTCATCACACCAAATAAGCCAGAGTGCTTTATAATTTAGAAGAATGTTCCTCCAAAATATAGTAACAAGGGATGAAGATAAACTCCCTCTGGCCCAAATTTTAAATATAAGGGCCCCCCCGGAGGTCTTGTTCACTAAACAAGAATCTTAAGTAAAAGCAACCAAAAATCCACACAGATCCTCAACCAAACCAAGAGCACCATCTTACAAACTCCAGCCGCTTCATCCAACTCCCAAATGGAGACAAAAAATTAATCACGATTGAACTATGCCCACTGTTATTCTGTCTTTTCAGGTCCCCACTGGATTTTTTCTATTTCTTTTATCCTCTCCCTCTGCCTACCAATTTATGTGACCTCATGATTTCCCCCCTGCTTGTGCTCACCCCTCTGTCCCCACCCCATACCTTCTTGGACTTCCATACAGATTTTACTAGTTTTCCTCTGGTTTTTACAATAATAGTCTTATACAATATTTGTCCTTATGAGACTGAATTAATTCACTCTCCAGTTATGCTGTATTACTCTCCCAAGTTATGCTGTATTTTTCGAAAGCATTGTTCTTGAGTGCCCTATACTATTCCATTGTGCAAATGTACCACAATTTCTCAATCCATTCAATTATGGTTGGACATTTGGGCTGTTTCCATGTTCTTGCAATTGTGAATAATACTGCTTTGAACATTGGTGTGCAAATCTCCATTTGTGTCTCAGTTCTAATTTCCTTGGGTTATATTCCTAGCAGTGGAATAGCTGGGTCATATGGAATTTCTGTGTTCAACTTTTTGAGGAAATCTCAAACTATGGTCCACAATGGTTGTATCATTTTACAATCTCACTAGTAGTGTATGACAGTTTCAATCTCTTCACATCCTCACCAACATATATTGCTTTCTGTCCTTTTGAACTTTGCTACTGCTACTGGGGTTGGATAGTATCGCACTGTGAATATGATTTGTATCTCTCTTATTGCCAGTGATTTTGAGCATTTCTTCATGTGTCTGTTGGCCATCTGAGTGTCTTTCTCTGTGAAAGTCTTTCTATGTCTTTTCTCAATTTTGTAATTGGATTTTCAGTCTTTTTCTTATGAAAGTCCTTTAGTATTCTGTAATCTTGTTATGAGACCCTTCTTTGTCCGAGATTGTATTGCCAAGTGTTTTTCCCAGTCAGTTGGTTTTCTTTTCACCATAATGGAAAAAGGGATTTAATCTTTAGAAGATCTCATTCATCAATTTTGTCCTTTCCTTGTTACGCATTTCTGGCTATATTGGTCAGCCTCTTTATATTATTAGGCTAGGCCTTGTAAGCTTTGTCCCATTTTGTTTCTTATGATCTTTATGAGCTTGGGCTTTACTTCCAGGTCTTTGATCCACCTTGAGTTGATTTTTCTGTATGATGTGAGATATGGCTCCTGTTTCAGCTTTCCGTATGTAGCAGTCCAGTTTTGCCGGCACCATTTGATTAAGAGGTTATTGTTTCCCCATTTGATAGGTTTTGTTTCCTTGTCAAATATCAGTTTACCATAGATAGATGGATTATTTTTTTATTCTGTCCATTGGTCTATGTACAATGGTTATTACAGCTGTATAGTATGTTTTGAGAACAGGGACTGCTATGCCTCCCGCTTCATTTTTGTTTTTCAGAAGTACTTTGCTTATTTGAAGTCTCTTTCTAAATAAACTTGCCATTTGCCTTTTCAATCTCCTTGAAAACGGAATTTGATATCTGTAATGGGATTGCATTAAACATATAGATTGGTTTTTTATTATTTTTTGGGTTTTTAAAAAAAAACAGTATAAATTGACTTTTATCCATGAAAAGATAATGTTTTCCCATTATGTCTTTTATAGTTTTTTGCAAAAGTGTTCTATAGTTTTCTTTGTAAAGGTCTTTTGTGTCTCTATTTAGGATTATACATAAGTCTCTCAATTTATACTTCACTTTGTTATGCTTCTGAGAACTTGACAATTAATAAGGATGACAGAAAAAGAATTGATACCTTTGAGCTGTGGTATTGGAGAAGAGCACTGAACATCCATGGATGGCCATGAGAACAAACAGATATGTCTTGGAGAGGGTGCAGCCAGAGTGCTCTTTGGAGACAAGAATGATGACGCTTTAGCTCACATGCTTTGGGCATGTTGCTAGGAGGGGGGCTATTCCTTGGTGAGGGATATGATACTAGGAAGTTTGGAGGGTTGATGAAGGAGAGGAAGACCTTCAACCAGGTGGACTGACACAGTGGCTGCTGCAATGGGCTGTTGTGTGTCTGGAAGTGTGAGAATGAGGCAGAGTAGAACAGGGTTGAGATCTTTTGTTCCTGGGGTCACTATGAGTCATACTTGATGGCACCTAACAACAACAACAATTATAAGTGGTATTGCTTTCTTGGTTTCCTTCTCAATTTTTTCTTTGTTACTATAGAGGAGTCCCGCTGCCTTTTCAATATTGATTATGGATCCTGCCACTCTACTAAATTGGTCCATTGGCTCTGACACTTTTTTTGTTGAGTCCTTGGGATTTTCTGTGTACACTATCATATCTGCATGTAGTGACAGTTTAACCACTTCTTTGCCAATCTGAATGCCTCTTATTTCATTCTCTTGTATTGCCTTACCAATCTAACACAATATTGAAGAAGAATACTGAAAGTGAGCATCCTTGTCTGGTGCTTGTTCGCAACGAAATGCTTTTAGTCTTTCTCCATTGAGAATGATATTGGCTCTTGGTTTTGTATATAT